AAAAACACCCAAAAAAAAAAAAAAAAAAGATTCTAAGTGCTGGGACCAGCAGTTAGCGTAATGGCTATGTCGTTAGACTCCCACGTAGTGGACCGTGGTTCGCATCCTGGACCCGGTGGCTTAAAACTCACACCTGGCACGTCTGTGTGCATGCCCAAAATCCCAAGAGGAGAATGGAGAAGAAGGGATTGCAGCGAGGCCATCCCCCCCCGGGGGTGATTTCTCACTTTTTGTCTGTCTCTGTCTGGTGAGCGCACGCGCCCTATAGCAAAAACCTCTTCAAAAAAAAAAAAGATTCTAAGTGCTATCAGCCACCTAGGATCTAGTTGCTTTAATCTCCATGCCACCTTCTGGCACAGGAAATTTCTTTCTTTCTTTCTTTTATTTTTGCTATAGGGTGCATGCACTCCTCTGGAGAGACAAAGGGGGACAGAGACAGAAAGCTAGAAATCTCCTCACCCAGAGGAGACGGACACACCATAATCCCATGGTTGGCCACATGGGAGTCCAGCAATGGAATCATCACACCATCTGCTGGTCCCAGAAATTTAATTCTTTATGAGGCTTAGCAGCATACAAAAAGTTGTCAGGGACTGGCCCCATAGCCTAGTGGTTAAGGGAGCCAAATCCCACATAGCCGACTATGTCAATCCATGTAAAAGCCATGGAGACTTGAAAAACACATTTGACATGTATTCATGCCTCTCCAAAATCCCAGCAGGATAGAGAAGAGATTGAGGTATGACCATACTCCATCCCTTTGGGGGTGCTTTCTCCCTCTATTTTGCTCACTCTCTCTGATGACACGCACCCACCAACAAACAAACAAATAAAAAGGTGACTAGTACACTCTGGGGATGGCTCTGTGGCCTAGTGTTTAAGAGGGGACAAAGAGACCCTACAGGGCTGACTGCACAGTTAGAATCCCAACTCAGTGACGTGAAACACACCAGGCACGTGTAAATACATGCCCCAAATTCCAACAGGATGGAGAAATAGAAGAGAAGGGACTGTAGAATGACCCTGTGCTCTCGGGCAAAATTTAAATTAAAAAGACAGAATTAAAGAAAAATTGCCAAGAGATCATTTCTCCTCCATTACATTTTCTACTTCCCCCTTTCACAACCCCTACTGTCAGATATCCAAACCCAATCCCAAACCATCCAGAAAGGTTGGTAACTTCTTAGGAAAACATTAAGACTATTCTACAATACCATAATCAAGGTTTTGCTTTGGAATTTTAATTTTAAACTATTACTATAACTACAATTTTATATTAAGTGCCATAATTAGAACTTCCTGAGCTATTACACTTGCTTTAATACCTTAAAAATATTTTTTAAAAGGGGCTGGACAATGGCACAGCAGTAAAACACAATGCTCTGGGACCAGCAGATGGCATAATGGTTACACTGCTGGATTCCCATGTAGTTGATCACGGTTCACAGTTCAAGTCCCAGATTCAGTGGCTGAAAACTCACGCCGGGTACATGCGTGTGCATGCCCAAAATACCAAGAGAATGGAGAAGGGATTGCAACATGGCCATCCCCATTCAGGGCGTTATTTCTCAGTTTCTCTGTTTCTATCTCTCCAGCAAATGCACACGCCCTGCAACAAAACTCTCTCTCAAAGAAAACACCATGCAGGGCCAGCAGATGGTGTGGTGGCTGAGGCACTGGACACTTCCACATGGCTGAGTCCAGGACCTGATAGCTTACTTTCTCGCTTTCCCTCTGTCTCTTTTTTTTTTTTTTTTTTTTTTTGGGGGGGGGGAGGTTTTTGCTATAGGGCATGTGTCTCTTCTCACAGGTCAAAATAAAATGAATAATTAATACATAATTCTTTAAAACACACACACACACACACACACACTGCCCGGTGAGGCTGACCCACATGGGAAGGTTCAAGGTTTGTGTATAGAGACTTCCCTGAGTACATGTGCACCCATGATGGGGGTTGGCTAAGGATGGGCCCAGACCGGAATGCAGTATCAAGGCCCTGTTGGGGATGTCTTTTGTCTTTTTGTGTATTTTTCTGTCTGTCTCTGTTTGTCTCTTACTCATGGAAGAAATAAATTTAAAAATAAAAAGTACCCTTAGCCTTTGTTGAAAAAGTAGGATTTCGTCCAAATTGAAATCTTACGTAACTTTAGTCAAACAGAAACATGAAGTACTTCAACAACATCAAGTTAATTTAATGTTGAACATATGTTATAATCATCAATTCACTAATAGCTACACAAAAAACTAAAATATGGGGCCAGCAGGTGGCATGGTGGTTAAGGTTAAGGTCCTGGACTCCCACATGGCTGACTATGGTTCAAGTCCCAGACCTGGCAGCTTGCTTTCTCACTTTCTCTCTTTCTCTGAGCTCAGGTGCCCTATAACAAATTAAAAAAAAAAAAAAAAATGAAAAGAAAAGAAAAGAAAAAAGAAAAAAGAAAAAGAAAAAGGAATAAAAACCAAAATTAAATTTAATAAATCTTTTTAAAAATTCTAAAATACAATAAAGCAACAGAATATGACTTATAACAAAATGTGCCTTAGCACATACAAGAGACTTATAAAACCATAAAAATGCATCTGTAGACGAACCATACACTCCTACAAAAAAAATTCCTCTCAGCAAGTTATTAATTCACCTGATTAATTCCAAAATGTACCACCTTAGTATACAAAGTTTTCCCTTCCCTCCCATTCAACTCAGAGACTTAAGAGTCGCCTCAGAGAGCCTAAGATTTCTGTTACATTTTGTTGTTACTCCCTCTTGTCCTCTCTTTTCCAAATCATTAAACATTCCATTTAAAGAAATGTTTATAAAATCCAAAAATAAATTCTCATAAATCAGGCCATTTACCTCTTCTTTGTTTTCCGACAAAGTCAAGTCGATATAGACAGGCTCGTCTGTAACTGTAAAAGACATCACTGCATTCTTCTCTTTGTTTTCTGACCGGATCTGCCTAGATAACAAAGCAGCAGTTAGTTTCCCAAAAGCTTTTTCACATTTTAAAAGTTAAATAAGATGACTAAAGACCAAACTAAGGGAGACATTCATGTTCCTCCTCCCATAGCAAGTCTTGCTATGCTAGCAGCAGATTTAAACTATGAGGAACACCCTCGATTCCCTTCCATTGACTCGTCTATCTTGATACCAATACCACACTGTCCTGATTACTACAGTAATAATTTAGTCTTGAAATCTAATTCTCCAAATTTTCTTTTTAAAGATTACCTTAGTTATTGTATGTCTTTCACATTTCCACTTAAAATTTATGGTAAGTTTGTCGATTTATACAAAAAAGGCTGCTGGCGGGGGCGGGGGGAGCAGTTGGCGTAATGGCTATGTCGCTGGACTCCTACATAGCCGACGGCGGTTGGAGTCCTGGACACGGTGACTTAAACTCATGCCAGGCGTTTGTGCATGCGTGCCCAGGATCTCAAGAACAGAGTGGAGGAGAAGGGATTGCGGCGTGGCCATCCCCCCGGGGAGCGATTTCTCACTTTCTGTCTCTCTGTCTACCTGGATAGCACACACGCCCTATAGCAAAAACCCTCTCGAAAAAATAAAAAAAGAAAAGGCTGCTGGGATTTTTTTACTATATTTGCATTGACTCTATAGATCAATTTCCGGGGAATTAACCCAGTAACTATTAAGAAAAACAGTCCAAAAACAGGATAAATGTGCATACACACACAGAGTCACTCCTCATTATTCATCGATTCTATATTCGCAAATCTGCTACTTGCTAAAATTATTTTTAATCCAAAAATCACTAGTGTGGCACTCTCATGCTCACTCACTCAGGTGCAGACCCATGAAAACTTTGAGTTGCCCAATACATAATGTCCACAGCTGAGATCAGTTCTCAGACTATAAATAAAAGGTCTGGGGGACCAGCAGGAGGCATGGTGGTTAAAGTGCTGGACACTCCCACATGGCCAACCACGGTTTGAGTCCCCGGACCTGACGGCTTCCCTTCTCCCTCTCCCTCTCCCCTTCCCTCCCCCCCCCCCCTTTCTCTCTCAGC